GATGATTTTAGCTGTTAGCCAGCCTTTGGATGATTTTGGCTGTTAGCCAGTCTCAAGATGATTTTAGCTGTTAGCCAGTCTTAAGATGATTTTAGCTAATAGCCAGTCTTAAGATGATTTTAGCTGTTAGCCAGTCTTAGATACTTTGAGCTGTTAGCCAGCCTTTAGATTATTTTAGCTGTTAGCCAGCCTTTAGATGATTTTAGCTGTTAGCCAGCCTTTAGATGATTTTAGCTGTTAGCCAGCCTTTAGATACTTTTAGCTGTTAGTCAGCCTTTAGATGATTTTAGCTGTTAGTTAGCCTTTAGATACCTCTAGCTGCCAGCCAGCCTTTAGATACTTCTAGCTGCTAGCCAGCCTTTAGATGATCTTAGCTGTTAGGCAGCCTTTAGTTACTTTTAGTTTTTAACTAACCTGCTGTTTAATTAAACCTTTATGTAGTGTTTTGCTATCTTTAGCCACATTTTAGATATTTTTAGCTTTTAGGGTAATGCTTGATTTTCAGTCTTTTTCTGCCTACCTCTCAGAAACTTGGCAGCCAGGGAGTGAGTGATGGGTGATAGGTTACCATGGTGATGGTAATGAGTCACTGGCAGCAATTTCACTTCCTTTAATGGTTAAATGTCCAAATGTATCCATTCTTTTCTAAATTAATTTTATTTCAAAATTGATGTTTGAACTTTGAGCTGCATCATCACCCTTCAAGCCTTTTATCAGACTAGTTTAAATTTAGGAATATGTTTAATCCACAAACCTGGTTTAGTTTGATGCAGATTAACTTGAAGCCACCCACAGATTGAGAAAAGATGCTGTACTGTCTCTTGGACAGTGACTTTCCTGAATAAGGAGCTGCAAATAGTCCGGACTCTGAATGAGACTGAGACAAAAATGCATGTGGACAAAAAAAAAAAGGACAATCAGAGTCTGATGGAGGACATCGGTCCTTAAGTGTGGCCCAACAGATTTTCTGCACACAGAATAAGCATCATGGGCACCTGAGTCACCGAACATACAGACTCTGAGGACTTCTGGGTAATAATCACCCACAGGAATGCTGGGAACGTCCGTCTGCAGCCGGCAGAGCGTGACCACAGCTCTTTAAAGTTTTCTCTACTTTCAAATAGCCCTGCCACAGGAGCGGGGGCCAAAACCCTTCCAACYTTTGGCATTTTATAAATACCCTGAACTTTATGAAGAGGGAAACTCTCACTGCTTCATCAGCGCAGAAAAACTCAAAGGTTATAAAATCTTTTTTTRCCCTTGAAGAATAATTAATGTAAGCAAGTCAAGGGTCACTTTCCCTCTTCCCTGTCTCTCTCTCCTCTTTTAACTGGGTTTAACGACCTCCGGTGTGGAATGTGGGGAATTCAATTGAGAACAAGGCGACTCTGAACCAATCAGGTCAGCTGTTCCCACTTTATTTTTATTGTATTACATTTCCAGGACCAGGAGGATTTACACGGACTTTCCTCTGCACTCAGTCCTCTGTCTGCTCTGAGGGCTGTTTAGTCTGAGGTGGTTTTTCCCAGCCACGCTCCTCTTTGTCTCAGGCCAGAGGTGCATCTGAACTCGGGGCTTCACATCTGAATACCCCCCCCTCCCCCCACTCCCACCCTGACCCGATGCCTCTCCTGTTTCAGGTGCACATGTGCTTTTGGTTTAGTGCAACCCAARGCATTTACATTTTTCTAAATCGACAGAAACAAGTGCTGGCTTTGGCAACATTATGCTTTCAGATTTCCTGTGTGGTGTTTTTACAAAGGAAAATACGCTGAAATGTTAATAATATATCAAAATGTGCAGGTTTTAAGCATCTTCTTTACTCATACTTTAATAGTAAAAAGTTTCTTTTACACTCCACGTCTGCAGAGATTTAAACTAAGATTATTTTCTGATGAGAAGTGATGAAGTCATGGGCATTTTGGTCAAAGCTTGAAACATAATATAATCTATAAT